TGAGACGCGGCTTTACACCTCCTTGACGCAATCTTTCCTGGCTTTGGAGGAAGAAAAGTCAGTTCAGCCTGAGGATATGTCCGTTGGGGCTGAATCGCTGGGCTCACCAGCGCCGGGCAGTAGCCGTCCACGCTGCGGAGGACCGCGGCCAGAGGGGGCCCGAGAGGGAGGGGTGGCTCGGCGAGGGTCCGGTCCGGTCCAGGGAAGACGGTGGGCCGAGAGAGGCACAACCCGACAGCCTGGTAGCATTGGATAGTGGACGAGGGTGAACACTGCGGACGGTCAGCAGGCGGAAGGTGTCCACAGCGGGCGGAGTTCTCTCGGCAGTAAGAAGAGATGCGTCGATGTTTTGTTGCTGTTGGTGTTTCGTACATGTATCTTACATTCCAGTATGGCCCCTCGTGCAGGAAGAGGGTAGGGGGGCACATGCCAGCCGTTGTCTGGTATTCATGAAATGATTTCACGAAAAAGAGCTGCTATGCACAGCCTTTTCTGACCGTTCAGCCCTCATTACCCTTTTGATAGCCGTGTTCTCCGTGCGTGTATTTCTGAATCTTTCCTAAAATGCGTGTTTCTGCTGGTCTCTTGGCTTAGATTTTACCCTGAGCATAAACAAAGGTGACCAAGCATTCAGGTAATTAAAGCTTGATACAGTACTAGTGAAACAAAACCCAGACAGCGTTTTTTCCCCAGGTGGTAATCCGGCGGCTTCCTCCCGGTCTCACCAAGGAGCAGCTGGAGGAGCAGCTACACCCTCTGCCCGCACATGATTACTTTGAATTCTTTACTGCTGATCTCAGGTGAGAAGCTTTTACCAACATTAACAAGCTGAGAGGCACTGTCAGTTGATGGTGAAGTAATATAGATAACAGAAACCATCTGTTTCCATCTTCTTTCCCACATGTACCTGGAAATCAGTACAGACCTTTATTTCTGCAAGTCGTTCCTAAGTAGGAAGGTCACTCAGTTCCTCTAAAATAAATTTGAATATTCCTCTAAAATAAATTTGAATATCTCTGTAGCACCAGCATAGTCTAAAAAGAAAAACAGTCTAACAACATATTTCTTAATTTTTTTCATTTTGGATATCAAACCTTATTTCACACAGCCTGTTAAACTAATTGTATTAAAATACAACAAAGAAGAGTGAATAAACAGTAGATGTATAACCTAATGAATTTTTACAAGTGAATTCGCCCACGTAACTCACGTAACTAACACTAGATAAAGAAACAGAATATTCCAGACCCCAGAAACCCCCCAGTGCTCCCTTCCACCACTGACACCCCCCACCCCAACCCCCCCCAACCAAGCTGTATTTTTTCACTTCCCTTTTACAGCTTGGTAGTAAGATGATTCTGGCAATACTTTAACACTTCCAGATCTCCTTTTTATTAACAAAAAGAGAGCAGACCTCAAATTCGCCCTTCAACAGGTGACAGTTCGGCTAGAATTTAGCGATTTTCACTATTGATTTTTAGTGATTTTCACATTATCTTTATTCTTCTTTTTATCGTTAGTATCATGTATTCTCATTTATGGTAGCCATATAAACTATCCTTTTGAGTAAATGCATTTAAATAAAAAAAGTCAGTTCAAAGAAAAATATCACAGGTAAATAAAATATGGTTAAAAAAACATAAAGATGACTTTTCACATGACTAAAGTTTAGGAAAACTGGTACAGTTAAAGGAGGTCAGGCACTGGTCTCAGAGGGACTCAGACTGGAATCCCAGTCCCACGTTTTAACTAGCTACACCCTCTGCAAGTGCCTAATTTCTCTGGTCCTCAGTGTTCTCATCTGTGAATTGAGGTTGAAAGTCCCTGCCTGTGAAGGGCATTGGTAGCTGTGAGAAAGGGGAGAAAGGCTTAGTTCTTCTGTAGACCACATGCCATGTGCTACAATAAATACTCTTAAGATACGTAAACATATTCTCTAAATCAGCAAAAGATCTCTTTTACAGTATAATGTTTTCTTCTCAATGAATCATGACCAGGTTGCATTGCAGTCATGATGCATGATTAGGAATTATCTCTGAATAACCTTGCCTTTGGTTTTCCACCTCTGAGGACCAGTATTTTAACCCTGGCTCTGTGCAGTAGAGAAACCAACCTAAACTGCCTCTCCCAAGTCATTAAAAAGATCTCAGTTAATATTTTGTTTGTTTTTGGTTTTTTGCTATAGAATATCCAGATTGTTGTAATTAACTGAGATACGGTTCTGTGGCGTGAAGGTTGTATCTGAAGTAGTTTGTTGTATCCAGAAAAGAAAAAAAGACAAAACCAAAAGAAGTCCTAAGTTTTTTACTAACCATTTTCATTGTTATGTCTTATTTCAGTCTTTATCCTCATCTCTATTCAAGAGCGTACATTAACTTTAGAAACCCTGATGACATCCTGCTTTTTAGAGATCGTTTTGATGGATATATCTTCATTGACAGTAAAGGTTGGATCACTGGCTTTTTAAACTCTTCATTATAATCTCTAAGTAAAAGTTTTGCTGCATGTTTGTGAGTTTTAATTAAGAAGTTCTTAGATACTAATCTAAAACTCATTAATTTTGATTATTACTGTGATTATGTGCTTATGTTTAAAATTAAAATTATATATAAACCAGAAATTCCAGCAATTCTGTGTAGTAGTGACAACCTATTTATGTATTATCATGAGTCAAGTTTTTCATATAAGTGAGTTTTCTGGAGAAGTGAACTTTTTATGTCCCTGAACTAAATTATTGTATCCTAATACTATGTACTAGGCATTGTGGACACAGCAATACAAATGAGTCAGACATTGTCCCTGCCTATCTGAAGCCCTGCTCTCCTCCAGGTTCTTGACTTTATTCTGGATAGTTGAGGGTAGCACAAACATGTCTTCCAGATAAATGAGAGTTAAAATATCATAGTCGTCTGACAAATCTAAAAGTGATTACTCAGTGAGTTTAGTGCCAAGGTAGAAGTGTTCCATCTTTTTTTTAGTAATCATGTAGTGGATGATTCTCTGAGTGAAAGTTTCTGTGTGTTTGTTACCCCTCACATAACAACAAAATCAGTTTCAAGTGACTTTCATTGTGAACTTTTCAGTTTGAAGCCCTCTCTTTTAGCTGAGTGTATCTTCTAAGCAGAATCATTTCCTTGAACTCACATAACAGATCGATAATTGAATTAACCTTTTAAAACTTAAAAATTTTAAATGTGACTAGGAAACCTATTTGAAGATATTCTAAGATAAACTCTTTGGTGGTAGAGTGATAACGTTTATTGAGGTATAAGTTACATATCTTTAATAATCAGCATTTTAAGGTATACAGTTTAATGAATTTTGTGTGTATTTAATCTTGTAACCACCACTACAACAAAATAAAACATTTGTTTTATTTAACAAATAATTGTGCATCCTTTGTTTAAGTCTGGAGTTTGGCATGCTAAGATTACAATTACTTGAAAGTATAATTAAATTATAGTTTAAACAGTAATATTGTCAATGCTGTGTTCAGTCCTTAAGTAAGCTAGTGCATTGTCTTCCAAAATGAATACAGTAGAATTTCAGAATGATTTTTGTAATTTGTTTTCTGTTAAAGGCCTAGAATATCCTGCAGTGGTAGAATTTGCTCCATTCCAGAAGATAGCCAAAAAGAAGCTAAAGAAAAAAGATGCTAAAACTGGAAGCATTGAAGATGGTGCGTCCTTTTCAGATGCTGGGTTGGAAAACCACCAAATTAAATACACTGATCAAGTATGAGTCCTCTCCTGTATATGGCAAGGAATATTTTTCTTCTCTTTCTGTCTATTTTAATTTACAGATCCAGAATATAAGAAGTTTTTAGAAGCTTACTGTGTGGAGGAGGAGAAAACTAGTGCCAATCCTGAAACTCTTCTGGGGGACATAGAAGCAAAGACAAGAGAACTTATTGGTCTGTTTTGCTCATTTCTTCTCTTTGATTTATTGAGATATGTATTTATAGAGGATATATTTCTTTTTCATTATATGATAAAAAAATTGACACGTGACAGAAATGTACGTATTTCCCAGCTTTGACAAAAGGATGGCGAGATGGCAACTTGGGAAAATATTTCTGAGCATCTGTCAATGGAGAACACCAGAGTTTTCAGTTACAGTCATTTTGTTTCAGAGTTATGATGCTTCTGTGTGAACAACAAAGAAGACATTTGAGTGCTGTGTGCTTGGCTGCATTAGGGAAAAGCCTTATGTCTCAAAGTTGAAATCAGACATGTTTGCAAAGAGCAGTCCCACAAATGAGATGCTTTGCTTAAGTATGAGGTCATCTTGCCGTTGTTCAAAAAACTGTTTAGCCTCCTGAGCCAGTGGGTAAGCCCAGCCAAAGCCAAGAGTCTGGTGTGAATCAGGCCTTCAACCCTATACCTGCAGGTGGTACGTTGTAGAAGTCGTTATCTCCTGGTAGCAGTCCCGCAGAACTTGGAGACATGAAGCCCTATTTTCTATCAGGCAGTCTGCTTGTAGTGTCTCCCTTTCTGTCTCCGCTTCCTTTCCCCTCCCCTTCTCCTCCCTCCCCTCTCCCCTTCTGCCCTCCCCTCCTGGTGCCTGCACCCTGTTCACCCACTGACACTTACAGGCCAGGCCAGTGACACAGTTGATAATTTATCTTATTTGTCTGTCTCCCTCTGCCTTAACGCTCTTCTCATTTTTGTTCCCCCACCCCACACCAGCCAACGGAACTGTATTTCTGTCTTTTAGTCTCAGCACATAATACATTGCTTGGACAAATTTAGGTCTTTGGTAAATATTTGTTGAGTAAATTAATCAAAAAAAGGTGAACATTAATTACTGAAATATTCGTTAGTGTAGTAATGGAGTTTTATAAGAGATGATTTAACATGTGGCTCAGAAGACTTACTCACTGAAGTATTTGTGGACACATGCCCTGCATGTGCTGACTGGGTACCGGGGACTGCACCAGAATGGGGCACACTGGCTCCTGCCTTCACGCGCTGCCCTCTTGTTGGGGTGATGGCCACAAACACGTGCAGAAATGCCCAAACCAGAGTGTTTCCATTCCTGATGAGCTCCACAAACATACTGGAATAGAGTAAGGGCTTGGTGAGAGGCCCCTCTGAGACCGCATTTGACCTGAGACCAGTCAGGCAAGGAAGCAAGGGCTGGTTGCTGGCATATTGGGCCCGGAGCAGTAGGCGCAGGCCCATTGGTGGCACATGGCTTGCAAGGGGCAGATGAGCTGGAGATGGGGCACAGCACGGTTGGCTGGGTTTTACTGGAGGGATGCTGGAAACCATTGAGGGAGTGGCATGGTGTGGTCTCTGGTTGCTCCAGCGTTGGGGACGGTGCGTGCTGATAGAAGCTGGGCCCTAGTAGAGAGGCTGTGGTCAGGGAAGGCGCTTGACTCAGGCTGGCCGAGTTGGTGTGCGCTCTGGGGGTTGGGCTGAGGTCTGGCATGTGCAGTAAGAAAGCAGAAGGAATCAGGGCCTCCTGGAGTTTGACTTGAGCAGGTCCATGGACCGTCGCACTGTTACTGAAGTAGGGAAGAAACAGTTCTGAGGACAAATCGTGATGTCACTGTAGAAATATGCTGAATTTAAGAAGAACTAAAAGAAGAAGAAGAAATTGACACACCTCACCTCCCTCCCCCACCCATTTCTTCACTACTTTGTTTTGAATGCCCTTGTACAGGATAGCTTCAGAAAAGTAGTGAGGTCTTTAACTTCTGGGCAGTTTTTAGATATCCCCTTGCTGGTCAAACACACACCACCCTGCAGATTCCAGCCGTGCTCCTGCAGAGGAGGGTGCAGTTCTGTCCTCTCTGGTTCCCAGTACCTCGCCCAGTGCTGGGTGCATGGTACATGAATCGTAATGACTTACTGAGTAAATCCACCAGCCCAGGATGAGGCCATGGACTTTGTTTCTGTGACTCCTGTTTCTGCCTATTTAAATTTAATCTTAATCAGACAATTTATGGCAAATGCCTTTTTCTTTTCTTAGATTTTGGCCTTTAGTGGATTCTTATGATCAAGTCTAAGCAGTGTGGATTAAATGGAAGTTTTAATTCACTCTGAAGTTCAGGTTAGTTCAGTGTATATCAGGGTCTACAGAGCAGACAAACCTGGGCTCAGTCCCAGCTCTGAGACTTAGCAACCCCGTGACCTTGTCCTGAGCCTCAGCTTCCCGGTTTCCTCATAGGTTGTGGTAACAGCTCTCTGGAGGTCTAACAGTGACACTTTTATGGTTTGTAAAGCACTTTCTCATGCAAGGTCTCATTTACCCCTCATTCACATCACTGCTTTGGGGTAACAAGGCAGGTATTCTGCAGGAAAGGAGGGAGGCAGGTCGAGTCTCCATGTCAACCTCCACCCATCCAGGGTCTCAGCCCTGCCCTTGGTGGGCAAGGCCAGAACTTCCACAGTGCAGAGCAGAGTCTGCACGGATTTCCAGCAGCCCCCCTCCCCCTGCCCCCAACGGATACCAAAGTCTGTGGGCGCTTCAGTCCTCTCTAAAACACGGTGCTGTGCATGCATGTGGCCTACCTACACCCTCCCGGGTATTTCCAGTCGTCTTGAGGTGACTTATAGTACTTGATTTGCTGTGAGTGCTATGAAAATAGTTGCCACTCAGTGGCAAATTCAAAGTTTTGCCTTAGAGAACTTTCTGGACTTTTCCCCCCAAATAGTTTTGATCCACAGTTGGTTGAACCTGTGGATGTTGAACCTGCAGGTACGGAGGGCTGACTGTGTCTACAAATGTTATGTGCTGATTTAAATTATCAGCAAAAATGTTAAGATAGTCATAACATTTGGGAAGTTTAATGTATTGTACTCATTTTGCTTTTATACCATATTTGTAATATAGAAGATTCCCTGAAGAGTCTGGAATTAAATGCCTAGCATGTGTAAAATTGTCAGTACCTCCAAATTATTTGACTTTATAGTGATGAAATAAGAACTCCCTCAAATATAGTATACGTTCATGTATATTTTAATTCCTCTAATTATTTTAAAGATTGAATTGAAAGCAAGTATTTAAAATAAAGGAAAGAAATCTTTTTTTAGGGGTAATACCACATTGCAATTTTTGTGTTTCAGCTAGAAGAACCACGCCCCTTTTGGAATATATTAAAAACAGAAGATTAGAGAAGCAGGTAGGTCTGGCCTCTTACCTGATGAACAGCGTTCCTGTCACTGTCACGTCCCTGCAGACAGTTTATGCACGTACTTCCCACATCTCTAGAGAATTCGAGAAGAAAAGCGAGAAGAACGGAGGAGGAGGGAGTTGGAAAAGAAGCGCTTACGGGAAGAAGAGAGGAAGAGGAGGAGAGAGGAGGAAAGATGTAAGAGAAAAGCGGCAGACAGGCCAAAAAGAAGTGCGGAGAAAGAAGTAAGGATTCAGGTAATTCTGAGGAGATGTTTCGTTTCCTTTTTCCAAACGTAGTTCTACCTTTTAGGTATTTTATCTCTTTAGAACTTTAAGAACATTTTCAATGAGTGTAGTCTTTAACTGTCAGAGTTCTTTTCTCACACTGTGTTCCCCGAGCCCCCGGGGTTCCTTGGGCGTGCTGTGCTGGGAGGACCACGTAGGTGGGTGGGGAAGGGGACCGGCCTCCTGGGGAGACAGAAGCACGGCACCCAGAGGAGCCCCACATTTGAATGTCATAGGTTGGGCTTCTGCTTATATTTGCCTTTGAAGGAGGATTTCTTGACTGAAAAACTGCGTATTTGAAACCCGCTGGCTTTGTGTTCACTGCCCTTCCTACATGAAGCCTGACTCACAGAACCGGGTTGTCCCATTTCTCTTGTGGCAGCAACGGCTTCTGCCCCCATCGCCCGGCTTCTCCCGTGGCTGATGCACTCGCCCAGGAGCGTGGCTTAGTGCTGAGAGGGAGCTTTCCTCTGTGTAAAATTTACTGTCCGTGTTGGGGCCGGCCTCGCCTTCTCAGTGCTCCGCTCAGGTGACTTAAACTGAGCCCGGATTGTAGCCTAATGTGAATCTTACCCATTCCATGAAGGGTTTACGGTGCCTTTTAGGGATTCATTAAAATCATATAATATAAATTGAAAAATATGAAAGGTCAGGACTTGGAGGAGCAGAGGTAGCCAGGGAAGGATGGGAAAGAGGCCGCAAACACCTAACTGAGCTGCTGGTCAGTGTCTGATGTGCTTGGCAGTCAAAACCAGAAAAGCTGATCAGAAACAGTTTCCATTATCCATGCAGAGGAAACATGCCGGTTCTTCAAGGGAAGCAAAGCCTTTTCTAGACTTTGACTTCTAAAACAATTTCCCGCATAGGTGGTCATGTGGGGTTCACTAGCAATGGAGGGAACAATGTCTCAACAACATTCCTATGAAACACACAACTACTTGTATCCGTCAGGACTGGTGGTTATGCTGCAGTAACAGTCTCAAAATCTCATTGGTTTCACATAACTCAGGTTCTGTTCTGGGCCACGTTGCTGTCGACCGTGCATTGCCCAGCACGGCCACTCAGTGACCCAAGCTGACGGAGGCACCATCTGGCATCGGCTTCCACAGTCTTAGTGACGGGGGAAGGGGATGCGTAACACAGCACATTGCACGCTAGTTCCTAAAGCTTCCGCATGGAAGTGACATCCATCCTACCTGCTCAGACTTCACCTGCCAAAACATGGTGCACATCCCCAGCTAATCTCAAGTGGGGACAGAGGACGTGCCAGAGGAAAACCTGAAGTATTTATGAACAGCAGTAATGAGTGACATTATTTCTGAAGACTGTTTCTTGAAATGTCTCTCTTAAGTTTAAGGACGTTGCTGAAAAACTCAGCTTGATGAAGGTGCGGGCCAGGCCATGTTGCTCACGCACGTTTGTGGCAAAGATGAAACCCCAGTGTGCAAAGATGAGTAGGGAGCCGTTTGCCCCACAAGAAATCATCCCAAGTCATTTCTTTCATCTTGGCTTTGAGAATTGGACACAGATCTATGTAGTTTTAAAGTCTCATAATCTGATAATAACATTGATGAAGTAGAGGAAGCCAGCAACAGTATTCAGTGAAGATCACCTTCCCCACATCTGCCAGAACATGGACCGGGAGCAGGCCAGGCCGGGGTCCCTCAGGAAGTAACTCGGAGAGGGTATTTTCTGCTTGTCCGTGTGGCCTAAGCGAGCACACACGACTCTTCATAACGAAAGTGTAGCAGACGTACTTGCTGTGACAAATGCAAGTAGTCTCAGCAGTGTGAACTAACAGCCCTGGAAGGATGACTAGTCAAATGAAACCTTCATGTTATGGGGAAGGTCTTTGTCACCGTAGAAAGGCCGCTCTGTCATGACCTGCGAGGAAGTAGGTACACGTTTAATGCAGATTTTATGGTCACGGGTGTGCCAATATTGTGTAACCTTTTCCTTTACTTTCCTCAGCAAAGAATGATAGCTAGTCTAAGGCTGTGTATTCTCAGAAGCACTTTTGTCAACAGCTATTAGAGTTTTTCAGGAAGAGTCATTGAAACTTGTAGCCCACAATTTTCACTATAATTTTAAGACGAAATATTTGGAGTATAGCATTTTACTTTTACATTTTTGAGTATGGAATTAGCATCCAAAATAAGCCAAAGAAATAAACACAAATTTAGGTGGGGATATAGCTCAAGTAGTAGAGCACATGCTTAGCATGCATGAGGCCCTGGGTTCAATCCTCTGTACCTCCTCTAAAAATAAATAATAAAACCTAATTATCTCTCCCTGCCAAAAAATAAAATAAAATAATAATAATAAAAAATTTTAAGTCAGTGAAAGTAACTGTAGGACTCTTCATCTAGAAAAAAAGAAAACAAAACATGGGCACAGTGAGAGAAAGGCTTAGTCTTATTCCAATCTGGTAAAAAAGAATCCTGGTGGTAGGTTAGACCTGTGACATGAGCCGTCCACAGCTCTGTCCTCCTCAGTGTGTGGTCTGACCTGACCGTATGTGTCTGACTCCAGGCGTAGCCTTTATTGAGCATCTGTGCTCAATTTGGGTGTCTCTGACCTATGATTCTTCTGGAGAATTCTAATTTAAAGAAGAGAACTTGAAAAATAAAATCTGCAAAGAAATGCCGAAAGAATTTGTATTAATACCCTGAAAGTAATGAGGCAGAGAGAGGCTCTCGTGGCTGTTTTTAACAGTAAAGAAAAATATGATTTAGGGAGAGCAACTCAGCATTTTATTTCCTCCAAGGACTTGAAAACTAAGCAGTGAGCTCAAGTTGAGGTAGGTCAGGTTAGCACAGTTACAAACAAGATCCTGAGTACATAACTGTAGGCTATAAATAGCATTATCCCAGACAATTGTGTGATCTCTTTCACGAAGCTCTTTAAAAGCAGATGCCTGTGGAACAAGTAGAACTGAGGGCTGGGCAGGGCTCCCTGGATGTGGCCCTGGCTTCTGCCTCCCCTGTGTCCTGTCCCTCTCTCCTCCCCTTTCCACAGGGAGCTTTTCTCCCCAGACTCACGCCTTCTCATCTGTGGCTCCTGTTCACCATCTGGTCCCTGTTCACATCTTACCTGCAGAGATGCCATTCCTGACCCCCTTGAGAAACCGTTCCTCCTCCTCCCCGTACCGCACATCTCACTGTCCTTTTATTCTGTTTTATTGTGTGTTTGTAGCATTCATACCACCTGAGATTGTCTTGTTCACTCTTTTCTGTTTCTGTCACTGTGTACACCAGTCTTCCACCCCCATGGCCACCACTGCCTCAGCTAGAATGTTAAATGTAAGTTCCTTAATTGTGGGCACTTGTCTCTTATTCCCAACTGTATCCTTAGCACCTGATACAGGGTCTTTTTCCCAATGTATGGCACACAGCTCCTAAAACCCTTGTCTCTGGAGTGACAGGAGTGTCTGTATGCTAATGAGCTGACCAATGTCTGGGGCCCTGGATGGCTTCAGGATGGGGCTTAAGAAAGACCAAGGCATGATTAGAGGACTGGAACTTTTAGCCCCACTCCCCGACCTCCAGAAGGGGAGAGGGATGGAGGTTGAGTTCAGTCACCAGTGATTTAGTCAGTGAGCCCTGTGTAATGGAGTCTCTGAAAGTCCCCTAAGTGTGGGGTTTGGAGAGCACCCAAGCTTGTGAGCACGTGCATCTGGCTGCCAAGAAGGCGGATCCCAGGTGCGCATGGAAGCCTCAGACCTCTCCCTGCTGCTGTGCCCTCGCATCTCTCCCATCTAGCTGTCCCTGCACTGTACCATTTATAACAAACCACTCATAGTGAGTGACACACTTTCCGCAGTTCCGTGAGTCACTCTCATTCAGAACCCCCCTGAGCTTATAGCCAGTCCATCAGTAGTGCTGGTCCCAGACAACCTGGGACTTAAACTGGCCTCTGAAGTGGGGACAGTCTCGTGGGATCTGACATTAATTGCAGGTAGATGGTGTCAGGACTGCGGTGAACCATGGGATACCCAGCCTGTGTTGGAGAAGTGGTGTGGTAGGGGGGTCTAACCCTAACCTTTGGTTCCAGAAATACTGTGAGTAAAAACGGTTCATAGGTGCACAAAACCGTCTGTTGGGTGGATGGAGGTGTATGCTGTTGCCCCTCCCTGCGGTTTGCATTTATTACCAGCATATATTGCTTTTTTAAGTAAAAAAAATATAGAGTGTTATCTGAAAGGAAGTGTTAGAATTCGCAGATCCCACGCAGGCAGAGTAAGAGCATATGTGCAGGTGACGGTGTTGACCTCTCATGAGAAGCACCTTTCTGCATTTTGCCTGTCAGCCCATGTTTCATTCTTAAAGGAACTAGTTTAGTCTAAATGTATCTGTGTATACTTTTGCTGTGCTGCAATACAGAATATGTCTAGGGAGAACAGAATTCCTGTAAGCAGACCTTCCGTTCATTTTCTACAAACTGATTTCTCCCTGCAGTACTTAAATTTCAGTGTAAGAACAGGGAGGGAGGCCAGTTTCATACCAAATTAAATGGATCCTAGCAACCTCTGAGTCTCTCTCCAGAAAGAGAACAGTGTTTGAAAACTCTAAACTAGTCTCAAAGTCATCAATATAAAGCAGTCTTTTTAAAAATAAAAAAAGGTCTTTTCCTTATTACGAAAGTGATACGTCTTCATTTTAGAAAAACTAAAACCTGTAGATGACGGAAAATCATTTCAGTTCTGCCAACTAAAAATGATCACTGTTAACACAGTGTTGCAAGCCTTTTAGACATTTTTCTGTGTGTGTGAATCAACATATAGCTAGAAGTCATTCTGCTTTGTAACATTCTTTTATTCGTTAGTATAAGTAAGTTTTCATCACAGTAACTATCCTAAATTGTTTTTATAGCTACAAAGTATTTCATTGACTGAATGTTCCCCTGTGTATTTTACCAAAAACCCATTCAGTGGGCCTTTAGCTTACTCTTTTTGCTGTTCAAACATTTGGACTCAGTATTGTTGTGTATTTTAAATTATTTATTAAATAACTTCTTTTATGATAAACTTAAAAAAAATTGGTTTTTTTTTTTTTAATTTACTTTCTGTGGGTAGGTAATTGGGTTTCCTTTTTTTGGATGGAGGTACTGGGGCTTGAACCCAGGACCTCATGCGTGCTAGGCATTCAGTCTACCACTGAGCTACACCCTACCCTCCATGATACGCTCTTAAAGTGATATTTTACTAACATTATAATTTTTCAGCTTCTCAAGAAACCAGAAAAGGGGGAAGAACCAAGCACTGAGAAAGCAAAAGAAAGAGGAGAGGAAACTGACCCTGGAGATGGGAAACGGGAACTGTGTCCCAGCCATGCAGGCGTGAAGTCTGTGCCCTTGGAGAGCTCACGGGAGGAGCTCAGGGAAAAGTGAGCCTGTGCTTCTGTTTCTTTGACCATGTTGCTTGTCTGAGGTGGCCTTTGGGTCACGGTCGTGTTTCCTTTGCCAGTGCAAGTACTTACACATCACAGTATGCTTGGAATTCAGGAATTTTGCCAGGATATGCTTGTCCACATTGTTATCCCTCCTTGGTCAAGTGGGTACTTGGTGAACCCATTCGGTTTGCCTTCAGAAGGGGCATGTCCTTGTGTTATCTCCTTAACTGTCCTCTCCTGCCTCTTCTCTTGGGCCCCTGTCACTGCACTTCTGGGTTTCAAGATCTTCCCAATCTCTCTTCCTTTGGGATTTTTATCAGTTTGTAATTTTCCTCTCTGTTTTGAGATACTTTGCCCACTTGATCTTCCAGACCTCCTTCAATTTATCTACAGAATTACAGATTTGAAAACCCAGTCTTTTAGGTGCTGGGAGTCTTTTGTGATACAGAAATAGAACCCTAAGTACTGTCATTCCTTTGCTGGAGTGGGCAACCCTCCGTCCCACCACGGGATCTGACCAGCAGCTGTGGGTACTGGTGTTCTGCTAGCCCCCCTCCGCCAGCGGGGGTCCTCTGTCTGCTCATGATGAGCAGCTGGTGAGAGGAGCTCAGGCAGCGTTCTCTGGGACGGGACGTGGCAGTCTCTGAGCGGGGCCAAAGACCAGCCAGGGGCTTGGCAGAAGGGAGCCCCTGCCTCCTGCCCTGTGTCCTCAGGGTTTGATCCCCTCCCACAGTCGGGTGCCACATGCAGCTGGACTGCTGCTTCCCCTGACCAGGGGCTCTTACCCATGGGCTGGACCTGGACGCCTGCAGAGCTTCCTGGAGCCCAGGGCCCCTCTGCTCACAGAGTGTCTGGAAGTAGGTTTGAGTTTGGAGGGAGCAGGGCGAGGTCATGGGATTAGGCTGCTGTTTGTCCAGAATCAATATAATCTGAATGGTTTCTTACTGCCTTCCTTGTACAGAGTTGTGATAAAGTTTTTATCCTCTTTTGGGGGGTTCTGGTTAATTGGTTTGTTTATAAAATTAATTCATGTGTGACTATCAAATCTGTGATCTTTTAACGCTCTGGTTTATGTTACAGGCATTTCTGTTACTATTGCTTGTGACACAGAATGCCCTTGTCATGTTTCTTGCACAGATTTGTGCTTTTCTGGTAGATCTTTCTGTTCCTGTCTGCTCTGCTGCCTTTGTGTGCGGGGAGCCAGACAGTGTGTGAGGTTCGTGGAGAGAAAGACTTTAAGAACCAGATGAGCTAAGTAGCCACTTACTTACTCTCTATTCATTTAACAGTTTGATACAGCATACGTTAATCTTCAGTTAACTTTAGCTCTGCTTGGAGCAGAAACGCAGCTGTAGATACCGGCTCTGTGTCATGATGGATGTGTATCTGGGCTCCCAGGAAAGTCCCTTGACCACTGTTAATCTCATTTCAGAAAAGGGGAGGTTGTATTTACTGAGAATAATAAAAATATGTGTACATGGTATCTTCCCATAGTGCCTGTTACATATGTGTCACTCAGGTATAACAGCAAATATAGTTATTACTGTTGTTTATTCATCTCTTCAAAAGTTTCTTATTGAATACCTGTCATGTGCAAACTTGGCACCACGGGGATGAGCAGACCTACGTATTCCTGGCCTGTTTTTGACCTTCCAGTCTGAAAGGGAGGACGGGTAACTGACAAGCAGTTTGCAAGAGGTTGCTGATCATTTGTGTTTAATCACAGGTCACAAAACGACAGTGATAAAGAGCAAAGGGATGCAGAAAGAAGATGCCGGGAACAAGAACTTGAAGCACAGAGACACCACCTGGACGACAGCAGGAAGCAGAGAGCTCACTGCGAGCTGGACAGGCTTTCAGGAAGAGGCAATGAAGAGACGAAGTCAGGGAAAGGCTTCGCCCCAGACAGAGGGAGGGCAGGGAGCCAGGACTGGGGCGCCCCCATGGAGCAGAGGAGTGAGGACTGGCTGGTGGCCAGAAAGGAGCGCATGGGAAACAAGGTTCTTTCACTCACTTGGGATAACCTCTCACTTCATTTCCATCTGCTGAAAATATAAACTGCTTCTGCAGGCTTCCTGCTGCTTTTCCAAACAGAAATTCTTTTATTAACCAAACGAGGGAAGTCTGCGTGGTGTCTTGAGGTGCAGGGTGCACACTTGACAGTGAGGGTCCACCCTGGAAAAGAATGTGTATTCTGGGGTTTTTGGATGCAGTCCTGTAGGTATAAATTAAGTCCAGTTGGTCTATTGTGTCATTTAGTATCTCTGTTGCCTTTTGGTTTTCTTTCTGTATGATCTGTCTGTTGATGTCAGTGGGCTAAAGTTTCATTATTGTCTGCTTCTCCCATTATGTCAGTCTTTATTTTATATATTTAGGTGCTCCTGTATTGGGTGCATACACCAATGGGTATAACACCTTCTTCTTGCATTGATCCCTTTATCATTATATAATGCCCTTCTTTTTCTTTATGGCCTTTGTTTTAAAGTCTGTTTTATGTGATATGAGCACTGCTACCCCTGCTTTCCTGGCATTTCCATTTGCATGAAATATCTTTTTCATCCTCTCACTTTGTCTGTGTTTTGCCCTGAAGTAAGTCTCTTGTAGGCAGCATGTTGTAGGTTCTTATTTTCTTATCCAGTCTTCCACTCAGTGTCTTTTCATTGGAGCATTTGGTCTGTTAACACTTAAAGTAATTGTTGATAGGTGTATACTTAATTGCCATTTTAGTCATTTTTCAGTTGTTTTTGTAGTTCTTTGTTCATCTCTTCCCTGTTGTTTTTCTTTTTTGGTGTGACGATTTTCCTTTTTGGTATGCTTGAGTTCCTTTCTTTTTGGTTTTTGTGACTCTGTTGTGTATTTTTGATTGGCGGTTACCATGGAGTTCAAGAATGTCACAGAACTGTACCTACTTTCTTTGAAATTAAATTTGAGTGATACTCATTCAGATTTAAACACATTCTGAAATAGCTACATTTTTGATATCCCTCTCCCGTACGTTTTGTGATTTAGATGTCCTACTTTATATTTCCATGCATATTCTTTTACTGTTAATTGTAGTTGTAATCGTTTTTCACAGGTTTTTTTTTATTGTTTTTTTAATCTACGTGCTGGTTTATTTAAGTGATTTTCAGCCTTTCCTGTTGTGACTTTCCCTTTCCTATAGATTCTTTCTTCTTTTCTATTTACAGAAGACCCTTCAGTGTTTCTTTTTAGGTTAAGAATTGCTGAATTCTTTTCATTTTTCCTCGCCTGAGAAATTCTTTGTATCTCCTTCTGTTGTACATGATGATGTTGCTGGTAGGGTATCCTAGGTTGCAGGTGTTTTCCTTTCAGAACTTGGAATATATCATGCTACTCCATTCTGGCTGCAGAGTTTCTCTAGAGGAATCAGCTGATAGCCTCAGGGGGGTCCCTGTAACTGACTCTTGCTGCCTTTAGAATTCTCTCTTTATCTTTATCTTTTGCCATTTTAATTATGACAAGTCTTGGTGTGGGTCTCTGGGTTTATCTTGTTTGGGATTCTGTGCTTACTGTACATGGATATCTGTTTCCTTCTCTAGGTTAGGGTAGTTTTCAGCCATAATTTCTTCAAATACATTTTCATTTTCCTTCTCTCTTCTCCTTCTGGAATCCCTATTATACACAGGTTGGTACATTTTACATTATCCCATAGATTTCGGATGTTGCTTTCATTTCTTTCCTTTGTTTTTCTGTCAGCTGTTCCGATAGCGTGATTTTTATTATTCTCTCTTCCAGGTCATTGATTTGTTCTTCTGTGTCACTTAGTCCACTGTTAATTGCTTCTAGATTGTTTTTTATCCCAGCAGTTGAACTATTTTTGATTGGTTCATCTTTATAGTTTCTAGTTCCTTTTTACAGTGATCTGCATTTCTATCAATAATCTTTCTTAATTCAGTTAGCATTTTTACTACTTCCTTTTTGAACTTGGAGTCTAGTCGGTTAGTAGACTGAGCTTTGTTTCATTATTTGTTCTTTCAGGGGATTTCTCTTGTTCTTTTAATTGGGAGTGGTTCCTCTGCCTTTTTATTTTACTTTCTCTGTCTCTGTGAATTTAGGAGAAACAGTTGTCTACTGTGGTCTTAATAGTGTGTTTTTATGTATAAACTCTGTATGTCCAGTGTTTTTGGCGTAAGGGCTGGTTTGGTATGGAAGCCTTGTCTTTCCTCAGGGTGTGCTGGCAATTATCCCCTTGATAGGAGGTGTGGTTGGTGTTGGAGTATCTAGACCCTATGTGGGGTATGAGTGGGGGCTTCCTGTCAGGGGTGAGGTCTGTTCCCCAGTTGTTGGAGTAGAAGCCATGAGGGTTGGGTTCAGTAAAGCTTCATTGCCCTTGAGTGTGTGTCCTGCCCCAAAGGAGGTGACTGCTAAAGCAAATGTGGCCCGTGCAGTCACAGAAGACATACGTGCTGATTGTGTGGGCATCTGTGGTTCCCCTCAGAAGCAGCCCAGAGTTGCATCCCTTTCTCTGTTGTGTTTGCCCCAGATCTCATGCAAGGCTGTGGAGTAGGCCGTGGGGCTGGGGGTCAGGGCAGTGTGGCTGCAGGAATTGAGGTGACTGTGCTGCTGCCTGGGGTCTGGGCTGCCTCTGTGGCAGACTCTCCCAGGACCCTCTGTCCCAGATCCAACACTAAGTTGTGCTCTGGAGTGGGCGGAGCTGAGGGCTCTTGCTGGAGACAACCGCTGTGTACTCCTGCACATGCCAACAGTGGCCTTTGCCACCTCACCTGTACCACAGCCCCACGCCCTGCTCTGTCTCTGCACTGCTAGACTGAGTCTCTGCCCAGATCTCACACCAGGCTGTGGTGTGGAGTGAGCAGGCCAGGATGTTTGCCCCAAGTGCAGTGAGGTGGCAGCCGCCAGTGCAAGACTCTCTTTCCACCCTGATTGTCAGCACACTTGTGCTCCTAACAAGTGGAGTCTGAGCTTCTCCAGCCCTTCTCTGTCTCAGCAGATTTCCCAGCAGGCAAGGGAGTCCATCTCCTCCAAGCAGAACCCTGGGACTGGGATGCCCAGGTTGTGGCTGGACCTGCTTGCTCCCCAGGATGAGGGACCACCCATGCGGATCTTCACCTCCTTACAGTCCCCAGCAGGGACACGGGCCCCCACAGATGCCTTTTTCCCATCCTGCCCAGTTACATGGAGATCTTTCTTGCAGCTTTCGTTGCGTAGGAGATCTGCTGCTAGTCTCCAGCTAGTTTTCTGTGAGAATTGTTCCACATGTAGATTTATTTTTGATGTGTTTGCTGGGGGAGGTGAGCTCTATGTCCTCCCCTTCTCCATCCTGATCCCCCCAAAAGTGTTCTGATTGTTCTTGGATATTCGAAAAGCTCATAAACACTATAGGTTTGCTCTACACAAACAGCATGGAATTGGGATTGTGTACTTAACTTAGCCCAACAGACAGCTTTTTCTTTCAGAGGCTTGAGGTTAAGTTTTATTCAGGTCACATTGTCGCAGAGAAGTACTGTAACTGGGGTCGTCTCCCTGCCAGGCCCCGGCCCCTGCCCCAGTGCTGGTCACGAGCTGCAGGGCACACCCACCTCCCAGCCCGCCCGTGACTCTGGTGGCCACCTCTGCTCTGCCTCCATGGTTTTGTCTTTTCAGGGAGCTCTGTGATGGGGAGCATGTGTGTGGCCTCTGAGACTGGCTTTTCCACTTGGCACAACTCCCTGCAGATCCGTCCAGGGTGTGGTGGGTGTCAGTGATGTTGGTTTTAAAGTGTCCCCAGTGAAGGCGAGGCAGGACTCCAGACAGCAGGGTCTTCTCATCGTCACCCTTGACTGGCCACGCCTGTTTTACTCAAAGGGTCTGTAGGTACCTTAACCTCAGGTACCAGGTACAGCCATGGGGCTTTCTGGTGGGGTTTGTTCACACGAACGCTTGTGTTTAACTGCCTTTTTGTTTAACAGCAGTGAGTGGTGTGGGTATTTGCACACGTTTGTGTGTAATAGCTCCTTTCTTACGAGGCTCGGCAAGTGATGGTGCTCTTTCAGGATCTCTCTGTGCACATGTTACTTGGGAGAGCAGAGCCCCAGGCAGAGGTGGTGTGTGGAGCCTGCCTCTCGGGCCACACAGGAGTTCAGATCCATGGGGACTGCCAAGCCCTTTCCCACTCTTTTCCTTTCTCAGCCTGGCCAAGGAGAAGAGTGTTTCGATAAGCCCCATGGTGGTGATGTGAGGCCTCCACACACAGCCCAAGGGTGGGCCCTGGAGAAACCCAGCCCAGGACATGCCCACCTGACTCACGCTGTCCTGGGCCCCCAGGAGGCCATGGAGGCTGTGGGGCTGCTCTGCTCCCTCAGGGCTGGAAGCTCTGCTAAGCTGGGTCAGCTGCCCCCTCTCTCGGCCGTAGGGCTGGGTCCACGCTGAGCCAGCTGGCTTCCTCTCATTCCCTGAACAGTTTAGTTTCATTTCAGATATTTAATCCCACCATCTCTAAGAGTTTAGTATGATGACTGGTTAGGTTTATTTTCTGTAAAGGTAACAGTTCAGGAATAAGCTACACAGAAATTGCTTATTACAAATGTTAATGACTGCTTAGTTAGTAGCTCTAAAACGCCATCTCTCTGAGGGGCCACACCTCATTTTGTTTCAGACTTCGCATCCTCCCTGGTGAATTTGAGGGGCTGAGATATGTGTGTGTTGGAGTTTTCATCTCTCAAAATGGGAGGGGAATGCCATGATTGTATTAATTGTATAGGGTGTTCTAGGTTTTAACAGTAACTTACCCAGATACTAATTTTACCTGCTTTCAATTTATTTTAAATATTAACTGTCTTCCTTTTCATGGCTTTTTTGGTCTCAAAATGCCTGATTTCTGAGATAATATGTGAAAAGAGCTGGTTTTTAGCTGCAAGACTGATTTTCTTTAGATAATTAGGATTATCAGGTCTTAGAAATAGAACTGTGTCCCTTCCTATGTTTCTGGCCCTTGGAAAAGTAACACACCTTCTTTCCTGGCAGGACCGGCCAGCGGTGCAGCTGTACCAGTCCAGAGCGTGTGTCCGAGCCCGCGAGTGTGATGGAAGACCCCTCGAGGAGGGCCATGTCAGGAAGAGGGGTGAGGTGGAAGATTCCACAGAGGCTGGACCCCAGAAGAGCGAAGGGGCAGACTGAGCAACGTGCGCATTTGTGACGGTGGTGAGATCCCTTCGGCATTCTGTGGATTCGAGGAGGCATTTTGGAAGTGTATAAATTAGCCCTGAATAAAGCGAGCAAGGTGAATTTACCCCTTATAAAGAAATGAGAAACCAGAACTATTAATGTGGCTTAGAAACCATTCTTAAGGAGCGATCTTTTAAAAATTTGAATAGTTTACATAGATTTTACCGTTTTTAGTACAGACTAGTATATATAATACAACTAATACAGGAAAAAAAACCTCCTTTAGGAAGCAGAAAAGTATGACTAAAACAGGGAAGAAGACTAGTATCTAAAGCACCTTAAACATAACTTGGACTTTGCGTTTCACACATTCGTAAGCAAGGGTTCTGTTGGGGTCTGTATCTCATCGTGCTTTTTGTTGGTTTTCTGTGAGCTGTGGTTTCTGGAAAGTGAGCAGCTGTCATTCCGCTATAGCCGTTGTGCCCCATCCCCCCTGCGCACCTCTGTCATGGCCCCTGACAGCATAGTGTTGTAACCCCTGTGATGGGAACTCTTAAGTGCAGCATCTGTGGGTTTCCTCTTTGCAGTCTGAGGCAGTTTATTTTAAAATAGTAATGTAGCTTTCTGCAACTGTGCATTTCATAGTACTTTTTCCTTCTAGTGAATATTTTAAATGTTCATGTGTTTTTGGTGCTATGCCAGTTTATTAAATAAAAATTTTAGTTACTATGAATGTGAACTCCAGTTATGGTACCTTTCCTACATAGAATTGTATGTAACAAAATACCGCTTTTTAAAAATGTAGCTTCAATCATCTGACTATTTTGCTGGTTATGTCTACTCCTTATAAAATATAAAATGTTTACCAAAAACTGACTTATTTATTATTAAAAAACATCTATGACTGTTGGACATACAGTCAGTTTCATGCATTGCTGTGCCCTTGCTCTGACTTCTGAGCCCCAAAAATTTGGTGGGGGAGGGGAGAGAAGAACTTACTGTGGAACCAGGGAGGTCCAGCTGACCCAGCCACACCAACTCTGGCTGAAAGGGGATAGATGATAAATATTTGAGACTTTGCAGGCTGCATGGTCTCTGTCACAGCTACTGAACTCTGCCATTGTAGTGAGAAAGCAGCCTTATAATACATTTACAGTAGTAAATGAATGAGCAGGGCTGTGTTACAATAAAACTTTATTCATAAAAACAAGCAGCAGACCATATTTGGCCTGTGTAACAAACCATAGGTTGTTAGTGTTCATTTTCAAAATTAATGGTTTAAAACAACAGTTGTCATACTTTTTGGTCTTAGGAACTCTTTACATTCTTAAAAATTATTGACGACCCCAAATGACTTTTTGTTTATAACTAGGTTATATCTATTGATGTTATAGTATTCACAATTAAAACAAAATGTTTTAAAGCTCAAGAATCCATAAACCCGTGGTCCATTTGGCTGTCAAAGTAGTAACATCACCACACAGCATGTAGCCTCTGGAAAACTCCACTGTACACTCATGAGATGCTCATAATGAAAAAGGTGAGTAATGTCTTAGCCTTAATGAGTAATTACACCTGGGGAATATGTTCCAAAAAAGAGAACAAGATAAATATCCAGAAACTGATCTTAATGAAATAGAGATAAGTGAATTAACTGCTAGAGTTCAAAATAACAGTCACAAAGGTACTCACTGAGGTCAGGAGAGCATTGCATGAAGTATGAATTTCAACAAAGAAAGAAAATATTAAAAAGTACCAAATAGAAATCATAGAGCTGAAGAATACAATAACTAAACTGAAAAATTCAGTAGATGGTCAACAGCAGACTAAATCAGCTGGAGGGAAGGATCAGCAAGCTCAAAGGCAGGGCAGTAGAATTCATCCAATTAGAGAAGCAAAAAGAAGAAGAATGAAAAAGAGTAAAGATAGCTTTAGAGACTTATAGGACACCAGCAAACAGACCAATATATGCATTACAGAGGTCCCAGAAGGACAGAGAGGGAAAGGGGTAAAAGCCTTATTCCAAAAATAATAATAACGAAACATAACCCGTAGAAAGAAACAGACACCCAGATACAGGAAGCCTAAGGAGTACCAATTAAGATGGATCCAAAGAGACCCACACTGAGACATAATTATATTGTCAAAAGTTGAAGACTGATTCTTAAGAACAGAAATAGAAAAGCAACTTGTTATGTACAAGGGAACCCCCACAAGACTGTCAGTGGATTTTTCAGCACAAACTTTACAGGTCAGAAGGGAGTGAGATGTTATAATTAACAAGGTGGGGGGTGGGGGGATACACAAACCAAGAATACTCTACTCAGAAAATTTGTCCTTCAGAACTGAAGAAGATAGAAGAAGTTTTCCAAACAGACAGATGCTGAAGGAGCTCACCACCCCTAGACCAGCCTTAGAAGAAGTGTTAATGGAAGTTCTTCAAGCTGAAACAAAAGGCCACTGATTCCTAACAGAAAAGCAATTCACTGGTAAAGGTAAATATATAGTTAAATTCAGCATATCCTAATATTGTAATAGTGGTGGGATAATGACTTGTAACTCTAGTACAAAGGTTAAAAGACAAAGGTATTAAAATAACTGTAACTACAATAATTTGTTAATGGATATATAATATCAATAGATGTAAATAAATGTAAATTGTGATATCAAGAACAAAATATGGGAGGGGAGAGTGTAAAAAATGTAGAGCTTTTATATGCATTCTAAGTTAAGTTATCAGCTAAAAGTAAACTGTTTTAAGATGTTTTATGTACGCCTCATGGTAACCACAAGGCAAAAATTTATCACAGATGCACAAAAAATACACGGAAAGGAATCAAAGCATACCACTAAAGAAAATAATCAAATCTGAAAGGAAAAGAGCAAAAGAGGAAGAAAGGAACTTCAAAACAGTCAGAAAACAATTAACAAAATTGTAAGTCTGTATCAATAATTACTTTAAGTGTAAATGAACTAAATTCTCCATTCTAAAGATGAAGTGGCTCTTTTATTCAATACAGTATTGGAAATCCTAGCCACAGAAATCAGAAAATAAAAAGAAATAAAAGGAATTCAAATTGGAAAGGAAGAAGTAAAACTGTCACTGTTTGCAGATGGCATGATATTATACATAGAAAATCCTAAAGATGCTACCAGAAAATTACTAGAGCTCATCAATGAATTTGGTAAAGTTGCTGAATACAAAATTAGTATACAGAAATCTGTGCATTTCTATACACTAACAATAAACGATGAGAAAGAGAAATTAAGGAAACAATCCCACTTACCCTTACATCCAAAAGAATAAAATACCTAGTAATAAACCTACCTAAGGAGGTAAAAGACCCATACTCAGAAAACTTTGACACTGATGAAAGAAATTGAAGATGACACAAACATGTGGAAAGATATACTATGTTCATGGGTTGGAAGAATTAATATTGTTAAAGTGACCATACTACCCAAGGCAATCTACAGATCCAGTGCAATCTCTATCAAAAAACCAAGGGCATTTTTCACAGAACTAAGACAAATGATTTTAAAATTTGAATAGCCAAAATAATCTTGAGAAAGAAGAATAGAGCTGGAGGAATCATGCTCCCTGACTGCAGACAATACTGCAGAACTACAGTAATCAAAACAGTATGGTACTGGCACAGAAACAGACCCATGGATCAATGAAACAGGATAGAGAGCCCAGAAATAAACCCACACACTTACGGTCAATAATCTACAACAAAAGAGACAAGAATATACAGGGGAGAAAAGAGAGTCTCTTCAGTAAGTGATGCTGGGAAAACTGGACAGATACATGTAAACCATGACATTAGAACATTTTCATAAATTTTAATACATGAAAACGTAAGACTAGAAACCCTAAGACTCCTAGAAGAAAAATAGGCAGAACACTCTTTGACATAAATTTTAGCGATATTTTTTGGATTTGTCTCCTAAAGCAAAGGAAATAAAAGCAAAACTAAACAAATGGTACCTAATTAAACTTAAAAATGTTTTTGCACAGAAAAGAAACCATTGACAAAAGGAAAAGACAAGAGTAAGAGAAAATATTTGCAAACAATGTGACTGACAAGGGGTTTATATCCAAAATATACAGAAAGTTCATATAACTCAACTTAAAAAAAAACAAAACAAAACAAAACGAAAGCCTCACTCTAAAAATGGGCAGATGACTTGGACAGACATTTTTCCAAAGAGGACATTCAGATGGTCAATAGGCACATGAAAAGATGCTCAACATTGTTAATAATCAGAGAAATGCAAATTAAAACCACAATGCGGTATTACCTCGCACCTGTCAGAATGGCACAAATAGCAAATGTTGGCAAGGATGTGAAGAAAAGGGAACCCTCATACACTGTTGACTGGAATGTAAATTTCTGCAGCCACTGTGGAAAACAGTATGGAGTTTCCTCAAAATGCTAAAAATAGAACTACCATATGGCCCAGCAATTCCACTTCTGGCTGTGTATCAACAAAAACAAAAACACTAATTTGAAAGGATATATGCACCCCAATGTTCACAGCAGTGTTATTTACAATTGCCAAGAAATGGAAGCAACCAAAGTGTCCATCAACAGAAGAATGGATAAAGAAGATGTGGTGTATATACACAATGGAATACTACTCAGCCATAAGAAAGAATGAAATTTTGCCATTTGAAACAACATGGACGGACTTGGAGGGGATTATGCGAAATGAAGTAAGTCAGACAGAGAAAGACAAATACCGTATGATATCACTTCTATGTGGAATCAAAAAAATACAACAAACTAGTGAATACAACAAAAAAGAAACAGATTCACAGAGAACAAACTAGTAGTTATCGGTGGAGAGGGGTGAAGTGGGGAGGGGCAAGATAGGGATGGGGATTAAGAGATACAAGTTATTATATATAAAATAAATATGCTACAAGGATGTATTATATGACACAGGAATATAGCTAGCAAATATAGTCAGTATTTTGTAGTAACTATAAATGGACTATAACCTTTAAAAATTGTGAATCACTATGTTGTACACCTGTAACTTATATAATATTGTACATCAACTATACTTCAATTTAAAAAAAAAACAAAGAGTGGCTGAATGGATAAAAAAGGAAAAGATCCATCTCTATGCTGTTCTTTTTGTAAAATTAGCTTTATTATTTATAGACTTTTGGTAGGGGGAGGTAATTAGGCTTATTTATTTATTTTAATGGAGGTACTGGGGATTGAACCAGGACCTTGTGTATGTTAGGCATGTGCTCTACCATTGAGCTACACCCTCCCCCTCTATGCTGTTCTAAAGAGACTCATTTCAGCTTTAAGTGAGGGCATGAATAAGACATTCCATGCAAATGGAAACCAAAAGAAAGCAGGGGTAGCTATGCTTATGACAAAAAGATACTAAGCCAAAAACTGCAGTAAGACAAAGGACGTCATTATACAGGCGTAAGGGGGTTAATTCATCAAGAATTAACAATTGTAAATATTTATGCACCCTACATTGGAGCACATAAGATATATAAAGCAAATATTAACAGATATGAAGGGAGGAATCGACAGCAATGAAGTAATAGCAGGGGACTTTAAGGCCCACTTTCAACAATGGACAATCATCCAGACAGAGGATCAATAAGGAAACACTGGACTTAACCTACACATTAGACCAGATGGACCAAACAGGCATGTACACACTGTACCAACCAATAGCAGCAGAACATACATTCTCAAGTGCACGTGAAACATTCTCCAAGACAGAGCAAATGTTTGGTCACAGAACAAATCAATAAATTTGAGAAAACTGAAATCGTGTCAAGCAACTCTTCCAACCACAATGGAATGAAACTAGAAACAATTAGAAGAAAACAGGAAAGTTCACAAACGTGGAGCATCACACAACATCAAACATGCTTCTGAAAAACCAATGGGTCAAATAAATCAGAAGGGCAATCAAAAAAATAGCTGAGACAAATGAAAATGGAAAGCTGGCATTCCAAAATTTGTGAGATGCGGCAAAAGCAGTTCTAAGAAGGAATTTTACAGTGATAAACGCCTACATTAAGAAAAAAGAGGGGAGAGGGTATAACTCATGGGTAGAGTGCATGCTTAGGGTTAGTATGCATGAGGTCCTGGATTCAATCCCCAGTGCCTCTATTAAGTAAGTAAGTAAGTAAGTAAATGAATAAGCAAGCAAATGAATAAACAAGCAAATCCCTAACCCTACCCCCCAAATCCAAAGTAAGAAAAACCAAAATTAATTTTTTAAAGTATTTTACAAATAGGAAAAAGAAGTATCTCAAAAACAACCTCACTTTGCAACTCAAGGAACGAGATGGAAAAAGAACAACAAACAGCCCAGAGCTAGCAGAAGGCAAGCGGTAACACGGATCAGAGCACAGGAAAGGAAGTGCAGACGAGGAGCACACTCGTCTATTTAAAGAGCCAGGGAACTAAGTGCTGAGGTTTAAAAGAGAAACGAAATTGATAACCCTGTAGATAAAGCCTCTATCTAATACATCTGCCCACTATGTCTGTTTCAGGGAGAGTCTGCTGAACTTTCTTCCTGTGAACAGGCCCACTTTCCTGTTTCTTTGTGTACCTTTTGTCGCTGTTATTGAACACTGGACATTTGAGTGTGCTGATGTGTAACTCTGGAAATCAGATTCTCCCTCTTCCTCAGATTTCTCCAATATTTGTTTTATTGGTTATATGTTTATTTACTTAACTGCTGTAGACTGCCTCTGTGCCAAGGATCAGTCTGAGGTGTAAACAATGTCTTTTTATGTCTCTTTTGAGCCTTCCCTTGGGCAAACAGTCACTTTCTGATTTTCCCTGTACATGCAGTAGTCTTTTAATGTCCTAGTCTTTAACGTCCGGTTCTCCAAAGGAGAAAAACAAAGAATGAAGTGTATGCGGGGTTTTTTTGGTGAGGGCGGGGAAGTCCTGGCCCTTTGAATCAACAGAAAGTCACTTTAGCTGGAGGGGAGGTGCAAAAAGAATGGTTGCCTGTCTCTGTCTGCACTTCTGTAATCTAAAGCAGCAACTAGAAAGCAAAGCACAGATCCTCTGTATTTGCAAGACAGGGTCCTTTTCACCCACACTAGCTCCTGCAAGTTGTGTGCATCATGCTCACGTGGCTGTGAGTGGGGGACAAGTAGCTGCTACTCTGTGAAGAGCCAAAATTGACCAAAATTAACTGCAACTTACTCTCCAATTCTTCCCCTGAAAGTTGAAGATTTTAACAGATTTGAGTCCCGAAACAGTGTTATCAGATTCTGCCAGTTCAGTTGCTGTCGTGGTGGGGAGACAGGCTCCTGGTGCTCCTGTTCTGCCATCTTCCCAGAACTCCTTTTGCCTGATGGCTCTGCATTTACATTTTTCCTAGATTGAGGCAATTCTAGAGGCTTTCTACTGGCCTTTTCACAGTAATAGCCCTCATCTCACAGGTCGGGAATCGACATGTGGATGCTGCCTGTGTCTACTCTAATTTTGCATTCTGGAACTGAGGAAATAACCACAGGATGGTTTGGGGACCCACTGGACCCACTGTGAGGTGGTTTTGAGCTGAACCTTTGTTGATTATCTGACCTCTGTAAGCCCCTACTCTGACCAGAGGGCCACAGTCACACTTGGTGTCTCCTGGAATCAAGTGTCATTTCAGAGCCACTGTCCAGGAATTCCTGAAGGGTCGGTTATTTCCTTTTCCCCAATGCAGTCACCCTGGTACCTTTGGGGAAGGTTGGGGTAAAAGTTAACAGTATACATTCCTGGTAGTGTACTGGGGTCCTTGCTCTAGGGGACCCAGTCGCCCTTTCATTCAAGGGATTCCAGGTCCATAAACAAGCTCATCTCGGAAATGATTGAGGGGCCATGACTCTGTTTTTATAATTCAAGTTGGAATTTGGGTCACTTGACCTAGAACTCTTCCATTTATATGAATCAAGTAACAATTCAGTAGACTCCCTACCCATTTCATCTAATCCCCCTTGTGGCCCATGGCAAGCATCTGCAAGAGACTGGCTGGTGTTAGAAGCAAAAAGTTAATTGACAGTGTGCTCAAAACAACTAAGCAACTAACTGATCAGGATCAAAGGTGTTGAAATGTCATATTTTACTCCAACGGTATTTTCAGTTTTAGGATTGAGTGTAGCATCCAGTCTGGGGTATTTGTAACCAAAAAAAAAGTAGCATTCCTGCACTGAATTGATGCTAATTTAGGTCCAAACCAGTCCTATAGGTTCCCCCCTCCCCCAATTTACAAAATAAAAAGTCATCTTGCAAGAGTAGCCTTTGCAAGTGGAGAGAACCGTGCCTGGCTTAATAAGGGTAGAACTTAAACAGGATAAACAGACCAAGAATTGTGAGATGGGCTGAGAAGTTTACTGAAAAAGGTATGCTTTGCCAACAGAAGACCTTAAGCAACTGTACCTTAAGGGGTCGTTCTGTTTAACAAATGTAACATAAAGTCAGTGTTGTGGAGACCTTATTTTGGTGTGTAAGGGGTGGGTTGGGGTTGACACTGGAGGCCCCGGACTAAGCAGTCTTCTGCACCAGTGATGAGGGCCTAGAGCAGTATGGTAGCAGCAGCAGATAAGTTGGCAAAGAAACCCCAGCTGGCTTGCTATAGGCTAAGCAGAGTGATGAAAACCCCAATTTTCAAGTGCGGGTGTGGTAGGCAAGTCCCAACTGCCAGAAACTGTGACTGTGGAGGTTTACATCTCAGAGGAGATTTAAGGATGCTAATTAGCTGACTTTAAAACAGGGAGATCCTGTTAGGTTATCTGGGTGGCCCAATGTAATCACAAGGGTCTTAAGTGTGTGAGGGAGGGAAACACGTGACACCAGAAGCAGAGTCTAAGACGCACTGTGCGAGCTCACAGATGCAGAAGCGGAACCATGAGGAAAGCATGCAGGTGGTCTCTAGAAGCTGGAAAAGAGAAGGGAATGGATTCTCTACTGGAGCCTCCAGGAAAGGATGGAGCCCTGCTGACACCTTGACATTAGCCCAGAGAACTTTGTAACTGTAAGAAAACAAATCTGCGTGGTTTGAAGCCACATTTCATGCAGTGTGTCACGGCAGTGGGAAAGAAATACAAAAATAGCTAGACTGAGAAAGGAGACACTTTTGGGTTGTTGTTAATTTAAGGATGCAATTCCACTTAAAGGGACACCCCTCTTCATTTTGATGCTTGCAGATCAGATTTGATAAGCATCATCTTCATCCAAGACAAAGCTATAGAACCCACACCAATATTAAAAACAAAAGCAGGATCAGCTACAGACACATCACGAGTCATGTAGTCAAATTAATGAAAACTAAATTGGCCACCTAGGATATAATGGCATCAAGACCAGTAATGTTGCCAAAGATGGTACAATAACTTTTACTCCCTTTCATATTATGTGAAATCATTGGAGACTTCACTAAAAAGTCCATTACATAGAAAATTAAGAAAATGTAAAGGCACAGAGTGGGTCACACTGATCAGTGATGGATGCTACTGTGAACGAGGCAGTTGTCAGAGGTGAACAGAAGTTCTCCAGCTTGCCCCTGACCTGAGAGGGAAACGGAGAAACAAGCGGGGAGCCATGAACAAGTGGTTCAGCAAGTACAGTTGAGGCCTCCTTGCCACAGCTGCTCACGCACCACCACCTATGCTAGCAGTATACCCTCTCACTTGTGACAGTATCATGAGAAAACATCAGCTGGCAAGTTGTGGGATCCAGCTGGCTTCCCCTTGAGTAATTTAGGAAGGATTCTGTAAGCTTGCATCAAAAAGCGTGAAGACCTAAGAAGCCGTTGCATGTCGTCACATGCTCTAACAGTTGGTCTGAGACTGCAGGCTTCTAAAGGATTTCGGGGCGCCACAGGCCCCTTGTCTTTCGGTTCATAATTTTAATCAAGTCAGTATACAAGAAACAGACAGCTGTGTCCAAGATACCTTATCTGTCCTACTGTTTGGCATCACACCTAGCAGGAAACCCCAGAACTGGAAGCTCGTCCTCAAGGTACCCAGTGTAACCAACAATCCCACCAACCACTCACACGCTTGCCCTCCCAGACCATGCTCACCAGTGACAGGTCTGAAGGTTGTAGGGCCTTCCTAGTACGACCTAAGTCTTCCCAAGGTGCGTATTCTTTTGGATGCTGTGAAAAAATGGGAACAAATGTCTTGTTCCCAAATGTCTGGGAACAGCTCAATAAAAGCCAGTATCTCAATTGTGGCCAAATATCAGAATCCTTATGGCACTAAAAACGTCACATTGTTTAAATGAGGTAGTCAGGACTAACCACCACCAAGATTAAACACCCTTTGATACGCTGATATGAATTGATGAGGTGTTCCATAAGGAGTACCTAATGTAGTCAGCCCTCTGTATTCTTGGTTTCCACATTCCTGGATTCAAGAACCATGAATCAAAAATACTAGAAAAAAATTTCCATAAAGTTCCAAAAAACAAAACTTGATTTTGCCACCATGCCAGCAACTGTTTACATAGCATTTACACTGTATCAAGCATTGTAAGTAATCTAGAGATGATTTAAAGTATATGGGATGATGTGTGTGTAGGTTATATACAAACACTACATGATTTTATGTAAGGGACGTAAGCATCCACAGAGTTTGGTATCTGCAGGGGGTCCTGGAACTAATTCCCTGTGGATACCAAGGGATGACTGTGAACACCCTAACTTACCTATCACAGAACTCTGAGAAAGCAGAGCTGAGAAAATGCTGCTCCAGATATCAAAATTAATATGCTAAAACCAAGAGGAAATAGGAAAGAATAATTGGATTTGGTAACATACAATGAAAATTACACAAAAGGAAACACACACCTGAAGATGTTGCTAACATCAAAGTCTTTGTTTTTAATTTGGTTGATACACATTTGACAAAAAATTTTAGAATAAAATAACCCATGAACAGGCACAAGGTATTTACAGTAACAACTCTGAAAAACATAAAACTGATGTATTCTTAAACAGCAATGTCTATTTATAAAATTTTTTGTTGTGAATCTGGAAGACTTTCAGTTCCTGCTCATCACCCTGGTCTGAAGCCCCAACAGATGGTGCGTAAAGCCCTGGAGGAGGAGGTATGGCTCGTGTGCATTTGACAAGTAAGGGTCATCTACTGGCGTGAGCTCGCAGGGAAGTGAAGGGCCAGAATTTGGGGTTAGGTACAGAATGGAAGACTCCAAAAGAAACAACCAAGGGTGAGGCCTAAAATCACACTCAGGCTTCCCAGTTTCCTATAGGAGAAGGCTGCAAACTATTTTTTTAACTGACTCAACTTCCCCCTTGTAGCAGAAAATCAGCAACCCTGAGATCCAATTTTCCATAAGAGCAATTAAGCATCTAGAAGTGGTTCAAGTTTTATAAACTAATTTTACATGATCCAATAAAAATCTTAAAATAACTTTTATGATCTGAAAATACATTTAAGAGAACAAAATTTCTGAAAATTTTCATCCCTAATTCTTAAACATTCCAACTAATGATTTCCATTGCCTGAAATTAGTTTCACAAAAAAAGATGTACTTTACCTAGATGTCTGAAATTGAGTATGACTTGCTCTTGATCATTAAATGGAATGCCTACCTCTTCAAATTCAAATACACTGAAAAGAAATTGAAGAAATTTTACACATCCGGAATACACAATGTGAATGTACTGACTTACAAGATAGCCACATAAATAGAGACCAAAAAAAAAAACAAAACAACAAAAAACCCAAATGCTCATTCTTTGTAACACTACCGAGACAATTAAACACAGTACATTATACACATCAACATCTACTGATTCAACTAGGCTATTTAACTACACTTTCAACAAATGGTTTCAATAAACAACTCTGTGGAGCACATATTCACACTATGTTTAAAAATCAAATCTGCTGTTCCTCCAGTGGAGGTTCAAGAGCTTCCATTAGCTTTTTATTTGCCTCTTCATTATGCCGGCTTTGACAATGAGTTAAATGTTTCTTAAAGCCTCTTGGGAAATTTGATTCAAAATTACAACGTGGACATTTAAGTAAACTTTGCCCATGAGCTGCTACATGATTCTTAAGGAGAGATTCCAAAAGAAAAGCCTTTCCACAAATTGTGCATTTGTAAGGGCTGTGGACATTATGCTTATTAACCAAATGATGCAAAACAGCACCTTTTTTCATAGCACGACAGCAACAAATTTTGCAGTAATACTTTCCTTTTCCACGTTTCATGTATTTCGCAATCTCTTCTTCAGAGATAAAAGCTTCTTTTTCTTCAGTAAACTGCAGAACGTTCTTGGACTGCTCTGGACTAGTCATGCCCATTTTGTTCTCTTTACTAAAATCAATAGACTCCACATCCACCTGCTCTTGGTCACTGCTTGACTCTTGGCCCTTGCTGTCCATCGCATCCAAATCTGTCTTTATATACTCACTACTACTAAGCTCAGCATCCGAGTTCTCCTGGTTGTCTTTCTTGAGCTTCTTTGAGGAAGGAAATAAAGTGTCTTCTAAGAGTTTCTTAGGTGTAGCTAGTAGTTCTTCCTGAACCAGAACATCACACTTTTGATCATCTATGGCATCTGTCTGTAGTTCATCACCAAGCTCAACTGCCTTCTGAGATTCTGAGAAGATAGCAGATTTGGGAAGTTCGGGGAAAAGGGTATGTTTCCGGGGCTCTGGAAAAAGAGCACGTTTTCGTGGTTCAGGAGAAGCAGGAGGGGCTGTTTTGGCAGGCTCGGAGAACAGGGCGGGTTTTCTAGGCTCAGTATCAACAGAGAGAACAGGCTTCCAGATATCAGAGGCCGCTTTAGGGGACTCAGGTGGCCCAGAAGGACCTGGTTTCCGGGCCTCAGGGAAGACAGGTTTCTGAGGTTCAATAAAAAAGGAAGACTTCCATAGATCAGGGGAACCACCACGGGAACTTTTCTGGGGCTCAGGAAAATCAAGTGAAGCAGGAGAAGTTTTCCGCTGATCAGGAGAAAGCTTCCAAAGCTCTGGAGACCCTGAGGGCTTTCTGAGCTCTGGAGATCCTGCTGGACTTCGGATCTCTGGGGACAGTGGTGGGCCCGGTTTGCGAAGCTCAGGAGATAAGGGAGGTCCTGCTTTACGGAGCTCAGGAGACACTGGGGGAACTGTCTTCCAATGTTCAGGTGACAAGGTGGGAGTTGTCTTTCGGAGTTCTGGTGGGCCAGACTTCCATGACTCAGGAGATGCAGGGGGAGACTTCCAGGAACCAGGTGAGACTGATGAAGACTTCCAGGATGTGGGGGCTGGTTTCCAAGGTCCAGGTGATATAGAAGGAATTGGTTTCCAAGGTCCAGGAGACACAGATGGAGCAGGTTTAGCTGGCTTCCAAGGTCCTGATGATGCTGAAGGACTGGATTTCCAAGACCGTGGGGACCCAGGTGGCCCTGGCTTCCAAGAACCTGGTGACACAGCTGGAGCCGGTCTCCGAGGCTCTGGGGAGACAGCAGGGAATGGCTTCCAAGGTTCAGGGGACTCAGAAGGGGAGAGCTTCCTTGGCTCAGGGGAGACAGTCCGGGCTGGCTTCCGAGACTCTGGAGATGCAGTTGGGGACGGTCCCCAAGGTTCAGGGGAGGCAGCTAGAACTGGTGACTCTGGAGATGAGGCTGAAGGTGGCCCCAGTGTTTCTGGGAAATGGGAGTGCTTCTGAGGTTTGGGATTAATAAGAGTAGCCTTTACTGGCTCAGGAGATACAGGAGCAAGTTTCTGTGGTTCTGGAGAAGGAACAGGCACTGGTTTCTGGGATTCAGAAACTAGAGGGACTGGTTTTGGAAGTTCAGGAGAAGAAATAGGAGCAGGTTTTGGAGGCTCAGGAGAAGGAAGAGAAGGTGTCTGTGGCTCAGGAGAAACAACACGGCCAGAATTCTGAGAGTCCAGGGAAGTAAGAGCGGGTTTTGGTGATTCTGGAGACGTAACTGGGCCAAATTTCTGTGTTTCTACAGAAAGGGCAGGTATAGGTTTCAGGAGTTCTCCTGAATTAGGGGGCATTTTCTGGTGTTCAGGAAGAAGAGGGCTTTTCACAGGATCTGCTTCTTTGTTTAACTGATTTTTTGGTTTCTCACTCCATTTCTCTGGGGCTGCATGTTTGGATGTGATGTGATAATATACATTAGAGTACATCTTGCTGGTGAAAAAGCATTTATGGCAGTGAAATAGCTTTGCACTTTTCTGGTAGAATATCATTTTACCTAACCCACCAGCATCCATTTCATCACAAAATTCCGGATGGATGGTACCCATGTGGATTTGTACATTTTCATAATCTGTGCCTCTGAAACTGCAGTGGTCACACTCCAAACGTGCTGATGGTTTATGAAGGTCCTGGAATACTTCCATTTTTCTTTCTAACATACACGATTATATTCTCTAAAAGCAGTGCTGCAATAAAGTAGAAATAACTTATTTTCAGGGAACAAAATTTTGAATAAAAATACTGTTCTAGTCCTTTCTATACTTGTATCATCGTAAGCCTAGAATGGCACATGCATTTATTAGATGATAGCTCTATAAAGATTTTGAAGAGAAAGGAGAAATGTCAGTAATTTTTTACTGAGTTCCAGGAACTCTGCTAGTTTTACAAACATTATCTCATTTAATCCTCCTAACAATATAACTCACACAGTATTTTCATTTACAGATGAAGAAACTGATGTTCAAAGAAGTGACTTACCCAGGTTACAGGACTACCAGTGACCCAGGTCTGACTCCAGCATTATCTACTGCATGTGCCTTACACTTTGACTCTAAAACCCTGAATCAACAAAGTGTCAGCACACAAAGCTGAGTAAATATGAAAGTTAAAGTTAGGCTATTAAGGCTCAGTAAGAAACCTTAGATCCACTTCAGGAAGTACTTGTTAAACTAAATCTAACTATGAAAAGATGGCTTAAAAAAAATCAACGTATCTTGTAATGTTTTATCCATCCTAACCTATTTTTATCCATCCATTTAATAAATCATTTTGTGTCCCGTGCTTTTCTAAGCACTTTGTGTTTAAAGGGGTGTCTTACAATATGGTGCTTACTTGAGCTGGGGAGGTGAGATTGCAGAGGACAACACAGAGAAGGCTGTCAAGGAAAGGCACTCAAGCAGAGGTCTTGAATGATGTGAAGGAGTTTGCCAAGCAAAGGGCAGTTCTGGTGGAGGAAAATTAAGGCAAGTTGCTTGCCAGAAAATGAGACTTTTAACCTTTTAAGTGAGTCTTCTTAGGTGGTAAAAGTAACAGAAGCTCACGGTTAAAAACACACTTACTCACACAGTACCAGATACACACACAGTATCACTACCCAGGGGAAGCCACTGTACTTATGTGTCACTGAAGACATGTTTATCTTTACAAAAGTGCACAAACTTTTACACAAACGAGATATTAAACATATTGTTCTGCAATACGCTTTCACTGAAGGAAGAAAAGGTGCCTGTGGCTTAGGAGAAACAACAGGACCAGGCTCCAGGGAAGCAAGAGGAACATGTTCTGGTGATTCTGGAGACAAAACTGGGCCAAGTTTCCGTGTTTCTATAGTAAGGGCAAATACAGGGTTCAGGAATTCTGCTGAATTAGAAGGCATTTTCTAGGACATTTTTACATACAGAGTAAGCAGTTTCCTTCTTTGAATTTAAGGGTATTCCTGAAGGGGGAAAAACCCAGAAATGGATTACATGGTTCAAAGGCTTTTCGCAACAAAAAACTGGTATTTTACCAAACTCTCAAAAAGTTGCTGTACTTTTATATACTAACCAATAGTGCATATGTGAAGAACAATTCCCCAACTCCCTGGTCGACAGAGTATCATTACACTTCTAATCCTTGCTACTTCTTAGGTGAAAACTGATGTCTCACTATTGTTGTAATGTACTTTTCTTTAATGAGAAAGGCTAATAAGCATTTTACCTTATTATTCATGTGTATTTATTTTTCCAGGATGTGCTTTGCCTATTCTTACTAATTTGTAATAGCCCTGCATATAAAAGAAATCAGCCTCTATATGGAAAATACCTTCTCACTTTACCATGTCTCTCGACTGTAAATTTTTTTTTTACTATGTATAGGTGGTTTACATAAAAATTAAAAACTTAAGTGTTTTCCTTATGACTCTTTTAAATTATGCTTTCACACCCCATTATTTTGTAAATCACTCAATATTTTTCCTGATAATAACTTCATTCTTCTTTTATTTATACATTTGTATCTTTCATCCATCTGGGATCCAGTATGTTTTTGACCTCAAATGGATAGTTCAGTTGTCTCAATACTGATTACACTGAGCTATGATGTTCTATTAGCAATGACTAACTTTCATGTATGATTCCATTCTGGACTCTAGTCTATTCTCCACCATTTCCATCTGGGTGTTCTTAGCATGGGAATCCAACAACTGCTAAAACAGATTCTGTAAGTAACATTTTTAGCACATGTTCATACATCATTACATATATGGGTGTGTATACCTTTATAGAGTTTTTCCTCAAGAACTCCACCAAGCACTTTTCAAAAATATACTCATCATAAAATACTCTCTTAAACATCAGAAAGTGAGAAATGATAAAAGTACACAAAAATATATGCAAAGCAATGCTGGCAGAGTATCACTGAAATCCAGGACAAGTAGTTTTAGAATGGGGAGGGAATGAAAAAACAACATACTTTTCCCTAGTAGACTTACCAGATGTCTTACTAGAAGTCTTACAAGGGCAGAGAAGTCTACATGGCTTTTTGAGTAAACCACAGACAATAGCCTGCAGTACATCAAGAAGGACAAAGATGAGAAGTTGAACCTGGAAAAAAAATAGAAGAAGGGTAATCAGAATTACTTCTCTGTGGTAATTTGTGCCCTCTGTAATAGACTTCTGCCTCTTCCTCTCACTGTCCTGCCCCTTCCAACAGTGAGAGGGGTCCAATCCAATAAGCCTGGACACTAACTGCAATGAAAGGACACCAAAGGCTACAGTAGATGCTATCCATGACTATCAAATTCCATGGTAATGATCCACTATGTAATACCTAACCCTAACCCAGTCAAACTTTCTCAAACCCACCATCTAACTTCAGCTGATGTGACTGGCATCCAGGAGACTCCTGCCATGACTACAGGCTATTCTGTCAATTATCCATGCACAGCAGAGCAGCAAATTAACACACAGTGGAGGAAGGGACAACATACCAATAGGATCAAGGGGCAAAGAGGGAAGAGGCTTCTGCAAAAGGGAGGGATGGTAGTGCTTCATGATGTCTCATGAAGACTGGGGAACTGATCTTAGATTCCCAGAATTGTAAAATTAGGAAAGACCTGAACTATTGTCTAGCCTGAGTCACTGGATTGTAGGGCAGAAGACCTCAGAGATCATGTACTTTAAAACTTCTATTTATAGTGAAGGGAACTCAAACCTAGACATTAACCACCTTGCTCAAGATCAGGCAGATAATCAGCACCTGACGAAGGACCAGAAAAACGTTCTGCTATCTATCCAGGTTCTTACTTGTGTATCCTGACCAAACGAATACAATGGGATTACTAAGATCTTGAAAAGCCAGTAAATGGGCCACATTCAACTAAATGAAATTTATCAAACATCTGGAATCCAAATATCAATTGCAGACTATAAGACTAGAGTCTGCACTGGGCAGAGTATCCCAGTGGATTACTGCCTCCAACTGAATAGGAAGGATACTTTAAGAAAGTCCTTAGCACTAGGAATATGCAAAAGAAAGCAAATATAATGGTAGTCAGTCTTTAAGAAGATGTCATTTGTGAGCAGAGACTTAACTTCAAAAGAGGAAGAATTTCAGATTAACCTATAAGCTGTCCAAGTGGAAGCCAGCAGGAAAAGAGACTTCAGGTCAACCTAAAAAGTTTTACAAATATCTAAGCATGGACTAGAATGAGTTGCTTTGTTAGGTAGGAACCGTCCACAATTGGAAGCCAATGGTCAGTAAAGGACTGGAAGGATCCTCACAGGACTTAAGTCCAACCTTATTTTACAATCAACACAAAACTCATGCTGGGGGAGAGGGACCAACCTGTCAAAGATCACAATAAGTAGGTCACAGGAAGCTGCAGAAGCCCCTGGTTTCTGCTTCCAGATCTCTGTTGTAAGACAACGATGTCTCTCCCATGGTGACGCTGGAAAATTGAGTCCAGAATTCAACTGCTAGGTGAGACACTAAGATTACTTCCAGCCTCAAGATTACAGAAGTTTTTTTCCTAAGTGTCAGGGCTCCTAAGCCTAACTATGAAAATAGCTCTACATTGTTCAGATTAATAAAAATTTCTTATCTTACTTTTCACCTCTACAGACAACGTTGTCTCTAAAAACATGTTTTAATCATGAGTGTTTTGCTACTCCATCATCCTGTATTTTTCAGTGAGGATAGCAGGTGATATCACACCTATTTCCATCTCCCATTCAACTTCTTCCTTAAAGTCTAGCACTACCAGTCGTCTTCTAAAACATTTTGACACACAGCTCTTAAATGTAAAAATTTGCTTAGCAGAGCATGTTGAAAGCTAATTGGGTCCCACTAGTATGTACACACTAGCATTGCTCTTCACCCTCGCTGGTTTTCTTTTAAAATTAAACTTTATTTCTTAGAGCAGTTTTAGGCTTAAGGAAAAACTGAACAGAAAGTTCTCTGTTCTCATGTATCTCCTTTCCTCCCTTGCACACCCTTCCTATTATTAACATCCTGTATTAATGTGGCAGACTTGTTAGAGACGAATATATAGTTACTGTTAACTAAAGTCCACTTTATACAGGGCTCACCTCACGTGCTGTACAGTTCTGAGGGTTTTCACAAATGTAGTGTCATGTTCTCTACCATTACAGATTCACACAAAGTAATGTCACTGTTCTAACAATTCCCCGTGCTCCTCACAACCACTGTCTCTGTAGTTTTGCCTTTTTGTATACACTTTCTAAATTGTGGTAAAATATAATATTGACCATTCCAGCCATTTTTAAAAGCATAACTGAGTGGCATTAAGTACATTCACAATGTTGTATGACCACCACCATTATCCACTTCCAGAACCTTTCATCACCATAAACAGAAACTGGACACTCATTCAACAGTACCCCTTTCCACCCCTGTTTGCCTTTCTGTCTCTGAGCGGAATCACACACCTGTTCTTCTGTATCTGGCTTACCTCACTGAGTATGTCTATACCGCAGCATGCATCAGAATTTAATTCTTTTTTAAGGATGAGTAAAATACCACAGTTTATTTCCATTCATCTGTTGATAGTCATTTAGACTGTTACCTCCTTTAAGCTATTCTGAATAAGGCTGCTGTGCACACTGGTGTGCAAGTATCTGAGTCCCTGCTTCCAATTCTTCAGAGTCTACACCTAGGAGGGGAATTGGTGGATCATATGGTAACTCCATGCCCAAATTTTGAGGAAGTACTACACTGTTTTCCACAGGTGGTGGCCGCACCATTTTACTACCCTGCCAGCAACGAACGAGTGTCCACTCTTGTTTTCAATAATAACCGTATCAGTGGCTGTGAAGTGGTATCTCATTCTGGTTTTCATTTTCGACTTTGAGGGCTAATGAGCATCCTCTGATGTGCTCACTGGCCATCTGCACGTCTTCTTGGGAGAAATACCCACTCAAGTCCGTTGCCCATTTTAAAACCACTTTTTGTGGTTGAGCTGCAGGATTTCTTTACATCCTCTGGACACTAACCCCTTATCACACACACGATCACACTCGTCCCACGCCAGGGGATGCCTGGCTGAGTTTTAAATAGCAACGACGACAAAAGCCCACGCAGACGAGGGGCAGAGAAAACTGCCTCCGGGCCAGAACGCAGAACATGCCCGCCCGGCTGCGTGAGGTCCCCGCTCCTCGCGGGGTTTCAGACAAAACGCTTCCTGCCTCTGACGGG